ATCTTGAGAGATCCAATTCTCATGGCTGCTGGGAAAGGAGGAAGATACAGCACTTTCGACACATAGAAGAGCAAATTCCTGAGGGTGAGTACACAGGGGCAAATAAGGACAAAATGGAAAGGGGAGCCAAAGTGATTGTAGGAGCAAACAGTTTCTAGGGAAAGTGAACATGAAGTTATCAGAGTTGCCTTCTCTCTAACACAGGAGCAAGTAGTGACAGTCATTACAAAAGAGACTCTTCAACACAGTAGGTCTTAGTCTTTCTTCCTAGTGTCTGTTCTTACATCAACAAGAACTTAGAAGACAAAGGCATTGTGGGGTACAAGCGTATCTAAAAAGTTGCTAACACAGAAGTAAGAACATTCATCCAGACCTGCAGCCTGCTGAATTCAAGCCTAGAGCTGGCAAAGGGTGTCTCCCCACAGAACAGTCTCTACCCTCGTTCCTTTGACAGGAGATTATGAAATAGATGGAGTCAATCTTCTTCACTTACAGAGCAACCCCACAGACTGTTCCCAAAGAAGAAAATGCAGCAAACTCTCTTAGGTGGCATCAGTTTTTTCTAGCAGTCTGAACTAAGAGCAATAGGCTGTCACTCCTATAAATAAGCTGTCACTCCTATAAATGATGGAACAGGGGTCAAATGGATTGAGTATAATTTTGTGAGTGACCAAAAGCAGTTGTGTTACTTGGTTTTGGAACATGAACACAGCTAGCATGCCGTAGGCAGCACCATCACTTCTGTTTTATCACAATATCACTTTACAAGATGATCATAAAGCTTGACCCTGTAAAATACTGAGAAAACAACTGCTACACCACAGCTGCAGAGCTGGGGGAGCTGGATGATCTCTGAGCCTTGTAAGATGCTGATTATACTAGGCAAATTAATTTATAGCACTAAAACCAAGTTGAGAAACTGTAATAAACCATCAGAAGAGTACTGCAAGTGGTAGAATTCCTTTATGGGAGTTTGTTGGGCTCCGTATGCCTAACTCATTTTCAGAAACAGTAAAATTTCTCCTTTACTAGGAGTCTGGCAGAATTATGTAAGATTCATTAAAAATTCTGATGTCTGCAGCATGATCGGTTCTAACAATGCAGTCTACACTGTATTATTCAGGGAACTACAGTCATGGCACAACCTAGAGTCCATCTGCTTCTCCAGCCCTTTCTACCACTGTCCATTGCAGAAAGAATTGGCTGCTGATCAAAGCCTTCAGATCCTCAGGCCAAAGTGAACTTCTGATTTCAAACCAGCTAGGATGACAACAAACAGCTTGTAACACAGCGTGACACACAGGTCTAAAGCTTGTACAGATCTCAGCCTCAGTTCTCATCCATAAAGCAGCTATTCACAAACAAAACACTAGAAAGCCCTGCTCCAAATAGTGGTGCTACTAATGTGCTTAAGCCTCATTTACACCAAATGAATGGAGAACAAGAGATCAGCAACAAGGCAGCTGGCAGTGGTGAGAAATTGTCTTACCTTCCATTGCGTATTTCATATCCTGGGCAAAAAGACTCCACATCACCTCTGCGCTGATCTTCCCAACAGCAAGCTCCTGAGGAAACCTGAGGGGACATTTGGGAAAGGCTCTGGCATGTATAGGAGCAAAGGGCTCTTCTTTATTCTGCTCTGAGCTAAACTACAAGCTGAAAAACTCAACATTACAGGTGCTTCCTTCACCCCAGATAAATGATCAGGTGGAAATTGGAGATCATGGACTGAACTCTGTGGCACAGATTAAATAACCTGAAAACAACACTGCTGTTGAGACTGGTTTTAACTCAAAAAGCCAGGCCCTGCATATATCTCCTAGAAGAGATGCCTACAATAATTCTGGGAATGTGATCTCAATGTCCTTGCACCTTTTTCCATTTTCTAGTCTGTACTGCCTTTTTTTTTTTTCTTTTTTTTTTTTTTTCATAGGATTACTAGGCTGACAGGTGAACGCTAATCAGGTATCCCTGCCATGTTAACTCAACGATCACTAGGGCATAATCCAGCTCTTTCTGTATAATACCTTCTCTGATAGCTCCCTCTCTCTTGCCCTGTGGGACTGTTGGAGGAGTATCCACCAGTTAAACAGACTGGTTTCAGGTTCCTTTCCAATGCTATGCCAACCCCACCCATACAATCTCCCAGTGCTGCACTGAACACCACATTCCTAAACCACAGCATAAGGTATCATCACCATGGCACCACTGTGTGCATTAATGTGCATCCCAGAACTGCTCAACATCAGAAAAAACCAAAAGAACTCTCACCCCATTTTCAGCTGCCTCCCTGAGTTCAGGATTGTAATAATCAGGGTGTTTGTGCTCGAACGCCATCGTAACTGAACCTTTTGAAACTCTTCCATCCCAATCAAAAAGAGTTATTTATATAGATAGAGACAGATAAGACAGAAAGACAGACAGACAAGATAAGTACTTCTATAAATACACAAGTGACAGAAGAGATAGAAAGCAGTTTAACAAATAAAGGAGAGCACACAGAGACTAGCGTTAGCCATACAGGACATGGAAGGTTCTTACTGATTCAGGACTGGGGTATAAGAATTCTTGTCCTCTTCTATGATGGAAACTATTAAAGTGATGAGTTTTGGCCAGAAATCCAGGTTCCTAATGCTGGGGCCCTGTTCCTCAGGAGGAAGGTCCTGATTTTTATTCTGGGAAGGAAGTCATTGGAAAACCAGTGTAAACTTCAAGGGGAAAGAAAAAGCTGGCAAATGTAAATCACTATATAAACTCCAAATACTAATTATCTGTGTACCCTTTCTTCTGAGGAGCTTAAAATTATTAACATCTGCTGGCAACTTGTGTGATCTAATGTAAAACACAGTTACATGACAAATGATCTTGCTTATTGTTGCCCTCAAACCCAAATAATCTCCATTTTGCCATTTACCATGCCAAAAGCAGGTTAGGCTTCAGGAGACCTGCTGAAACATCATTTGCTCTAAGTGCGTTACAAATATTTGCATTTTAGGCACCTGGGCTGATGACTATATCCACATTGACACACTGTGTGTCCATTACTGCAGAGTGGCCAGCAGGACTCTCATGAATTTGAAAACAGTTTGCGTCTAGACGTACTTCCCAAGCCCAGTGCAGGACACTGGATGTCAGAAAATTAGATAAAATTTCATTGCTTGAGGTGTTTCTATGCTAAAGACAGTTTTCTTGATCAGTCTGCATTTGCTCTAATTAGCTTTTGCTCACTCAGGCCTTCCCTTCACAAATAACTGCTCATGCAATAAAATAGCTGAGGCTGGCAAAACGAATCATAATTAGTTAGTGTAAAACAATTATCATCCTCCACTTACTAATTTGTGCTCATTAATTGATTACAAGTTTCATGCATTCACAAGACAACAAGTCACATAATTTTGTCTGTGTTGGCTTTTTATATCAATTAGTATTCTCATTATTATCTTAACAAAATCAGAAACTTGGATTTCTGCCCACTTATCAGCTACTCACAGGATCTGTCTGGTACTCGCGACTGTACAGCTCATGACAGTTGTTGAAAATGTACTCATAGGTAGAGTTGAGACAAGCTTTTACACAGTCCTTCACTACCTGGCTGGCTCGGGGTGGACTCTGCAGCTCTTGGACCTGACAAGAAGACAACAGAGAATCAAATAAAGCACTCTTCATAAATCAAACAGGGAAAGAACAAGTTACCAGTTTGGAAATGACTCAGGACTTGGTGGGTGTGCTTTCAGTGAGTTGGGCTATCAGTGACCTGAAATAATGGACAAGTTGCTCTCCCCAGGCATACAATAGCAGTGACAACACCTATGTCCTCCATGATCATTTGGAGCATAAAAGAGATTTTGAAGTGCTAAGGGAGTTTCTTTGGAATAAATAAAACCTATGGCTTGATATGTGTGCCAAGGACACACAATTTCTGCTAAATTTATAGGATTTTGCTTTGAAGTCAGTAAGCAATCTTTTAAAACATTGGAAAAACATGCAACAGACTAGCAAAGTGCATTACATCTGATCTGAAAGTCTTCCTGAAGACCAAACACTTGCATGGCTTTAAATACCATAAATTTCTTTACAGACATCTTTCTTCACAACCTTTACTGAATTTTAAAGCACACCAGAATCCTCAGGGACATGGCAACCAATACGTCTTCTCCTTTTGCAACAACAGCTCTTTTCATTATTTCATTGCTTTAGAAAAACACTGCAGGGTTACTTTAAACTGAACAGATATCCAGGCATCACCCTGCAAATAAAACTATAACCTGAGACAATTTTGGTATTGTCACTACCTCTAAACATTTCAGAGTGTTTCTGTAAAGTAAATTTTCAAAACAGACATATTGTCTGAATGAACATGTTCAAAGTAACATTCTAAAACTTCGTTTACCATAGGCTTAAGAGTAAAATTTTAAGCACTTTCCTCAGACAGTTCAAATCGAAGACTTGCTTTGGTTTTGATAGGATAAAAATTACTAAGTGGCATGTGCTAGTCTACAACAGTATTTTCTAAAAGTTTAGAAACAAAAATCAGGAATTAAATATAATCTCATCACTCATTGCTAGACCAATAAACTTAACTACAGAATCAGCACATTAGCATTCATCAACTCTCTTGGATCTCTGCTGAGAGATACTACCCCATTTCAGCATCTTTCCCTCCAAGAAATAGATTTTTAAATACTTATTAGATAAAAGATGGTGTAAAGATAGTAGTGACTGATAGAAGTTATAGACATTTAGTTTTAGAGGAAAAGCTTCTTAAGGTTATTAACAAAAGTTATGTTCCTAAAACCAGACGATTTTCTTTTTTTCCTCTTTTTATTATTATTATTATTATTAGCCATATTTATGACTGAAGAACCCCAGGGAAAAACAGCTTTCAACTTCATGATGCAAAATACAATGAAGTAGAGATATAATGTGGATGTTTATTTCATGGCCAGCAGATGATCTCCATCTTCTTAAATGTGCAAAGCACAACGACATGAAACAATGGTTTGAAAACAGGAAACCAACTCCTGTGGCAAAAATTGCAGAGGTCCCGTTCCCATCCCCACCCACAACACTACCTTCATCCTGAAAAAAGTGATGCTGGTCAGCAAATCCACTGTAGACTTCAGGTCTTGCAGCCGTTCGCGGCTGCTGGCTGGGAAGTTATTCTGTCGACAAAAAAGGGAAATCCTGTTGGAAAGCACAGGCAGATCCATGCAAGGCTTCAAGCATGTGCTAAATAAGGAAAGTGTCTTGGAAACATTTCCCGCTCGAGAAGCTCGTACCAGTCAAAACAATGCTCAATAAAACAGGCCTTTTTGCTGCAAGAGCTTATCTGTTTGCTTAATTAAATAGCTTCTCACACGAATGTAAAGTTTGTGGATGCCAGGAGACTGACAACCCTTGGCAGCAGGAGATCATTCCTCGGCTGTACAAGGAGCAGGTAGGGAGCAGCAGCCTCGCCACCGGCAGCCCTGGCCTCTTGTGTGAGGTTGCTTGTGTGGGCCCTTTCCTTTCTGCACTCACCACTTGGTTTTTGGCTTCTCTTCTGAGACACCAAAAGGTGTGGTACATTAGCAACCTCTCCAGAGGAATAAACTTGACTGAGAAGGGAAAGGAAGTGCTGTTCCTTGTAAGAAGTCATCATAACAGCTCAAGCCCCTGTAAGATCCAATCTGCCAAGATAAGCAAATATCCTTCACTGCCTCCTTCGCTCTAATGCATTTATTTTACATACTCTGCCTACCACCCTGCTGTCCGTAGCCATAGTTTCCTCTTCCACTCTCTGGATTCCACTGAAATAAGAAGTCTCATGTTCTTTTCCAGAGGTGACACATATGTGTGCATATATATGTGCATGTAAATGCATATGCTGAATGCAGCAAGCTTTGCTTCTTGCAAGAGACTGTTCCCTTTCTGGCCTCAGGCACTGTGCCCTTTCCTACATTCTCACTCTTCCTTCCTGTGCCCTTTAACAGCATTCATGTTCCTCAGCATGTTCTTACATTCAAGCCGATGTGATTAGTTTTGCTGCAAGTAAAATAGCAAAGGCAATGTTCACTTGGATAGTCTCTTCATATTTGCTCATGGTAAAATTATTAGAGACAAAGGTTAAAAGGGCAGAGAGGAACAGGTTTTTACTTATTACCAAGGACTTTGAGAAAAAACATGATGTTGCTTGGTAGCAACTGAATATTGCTCCAGTTCAGCTAAACACTGCAAGCAATTTAATGCTCTTTACAGTCATTTGTAGATGTTCACTCCTAGACAACTGTCCTTTTAAAGTTAAGTTGTCCACACATGGAGTCTTCAGTACTCGGAGTATTTACCAAAATAAAAGACTACCATGGGTCAAGATTTAAATACAAACCATTGGATGAATGTTGGTGACTGAATGAATGCTGTTGATTAGGAAGAATAATCAGGAAAAGATAACATTACCTATATTGAAATTCAACCTCCTCTATGCTTGTCAGCTGGCAACCAACCAACAAAAAGAACAGCTGACATGCACACAGAGTAACAGCATTTGTTCACAAAAGACTTTTCAAAATAATTATTCAGAGGGTCAATTGGAGCTACTCTTGAGAGAGCTCCATCTCTCCTCTCTCACTCCCAGAGTCTGCCACCTTGCCCTGGAAGAAACACACATTGGTTTGACACTTTGTTTTTGACAAAACCACACTGCTGGTTATTCATTGTTTTAAGTGCTAACAAATAGCTTGGTTAAATTAGGCGAGTGGGGGAGGCTTTATCTGCATAATTTAAGTTGTAAATTCCCATCTCCTCTCTTGAAAACTGGAAGCTAACATCTTTTTCTTCCAGAACTTAACCTGTCCTTCAGGGGTCTTAAAATAATTACTAAGAGCTCTCAAATTGCCTCAGCCATTTCTCTAAATATACTGCCAACTAGATAACATGTAAATTATGTAAATTACACTAATCTTCCCTGGTCCTTTACATAAGATCCTATCCAAAGTTTAGTTGTATTAGCCAGTGGAAAGCAGCTTTTGTTGGAGACCAAGCAAACAAAAAACGGCATCACCACTACAGCTTCCTATTGCCATGTGTTGATAATTTTCCCTCTACTACTCAGTGTAACAGTGCTCTCCTTAGACCTACTCTTACTAGTAATATAATTTTTAAATAGCTCTTTACACGACATTCCTTTTATCATCTTTTGCACCTTGCCCCTTGTCCTTTTTGTCCATCTTCCTAATGCATTTCTCTTAGTCTGCTTGTGTTTCCTACCTCTATATGTTTTACTGTTGTTTCAGATAAATGCACTAACCAGAAGATGATCTACTTTCAACTAAATAAATAAAATCAAAGCTAAGATTTTGCCATAATTTTAAAATTTTGCAATGAATTAGTCACAAATCAAAATAATATAACAAGGAATTAAAAAAAAAAAAAAAAAAAAAACGCCAAGTCACACGGTAAGACTTTTAGAACTCATCTCTTCCCAATATGCTGAAGATCTCAACCTGATACCACACCTTATAGATCCAGAGTCAGGGAGAGATATTTGAGTTTGCTAGACCTAAAATCATAGAATTGTTTTGGTTAGGAAAGACCTTTAAGATCATCCGGTCCAACCATAAACCTAACACTGCCAGGTCCACCTCTAAACCATGTCCCTAAGTGCCATGTCTACACGTCTTTTAAATAAGTGACAATGTGCCTGCAAGTCCTTTAAAAGATTTCTGTCTTACTAGGGGAGAACAAATCTGGTTTTAATTTGTAGACGATACCTGAAATAGCTGATAAGAATAATTAAAATTAATTAATCCAACTTGTATTTTTGGGAGAATATCAGAGATGACCACAGTTCACAACCCTTAAATTATTTCGGATGTCTTGAGGAAGTTATAGTGGAATAAAAGAACATGGTTTTAGTTCCATCCACAAGGAAAACAAAATGGTGTATTTGAGCAATAAGCTTGTCATGACAATTCAATAAGACGCAAACTACTCAAAAGGTTAGAAACATAAGAGAAATCCAAATGGTGAATTTCCCCTCTGCTCACCAGAATGCCTGAAAGGATTCTGTTTATTCCCACTTACTCTGTACATTGAGAGATCAATTCGAAGTGAATTATGAAGCTGGTCCAGAAGCTTCACAAATCGTTCTTTCTGTGGAGCAGAAAACACCAATAAACATCACATATCATCACTGTCCAATCGATGTTCAAAGTAAGCAGCAGGTTATCAGGGAATTAGTGTGGGAGAAAGGGAGGAAGCAATATGGATGCATTGCACTGTGCAAACAATATTTTCTTTCACTTCTTGGATTTACTCTTATACTGTAATTATTTCTGAAGTCTGTGCAACATTAGAATTGTCAGAAAAATACCCCATTATCACTCTGAAGTAGAGACAGAACAAAAACCCTCTCTGATTTCTAGTCTGCAATTTGCACTAAACTTATATTTAAGAGAAAATATTTATTCAGAGACGAATAAAGGAACAGACAGTAAAAGGTCTAATTCAGAGCAATGACACAGCTCCAAGATCTTATCTATTAGTTCAGTGACAAATATTACAGGCTTCTCATTACTATCCTCCAGGTCACATCTCTCCACTGGATTCTGGTTTGGCATTGTGAGAACCTTCTCATTCAATCTAAAAATTTAAAGTCTGACAGGAAGCACAAACTTTTCCAAATACTTTTCCAGCACACTCAATTCCACCACGTTACACGAAAAACATTTTAACCATTAGGGGGATAGATTTTTTTTTTCTTTTGTTTTATTTTTTCTTAAAGCAGTTTTTGTTTTCAAAAACAAAGTTCTGGAATGATCAGATTGCACAGTATATTTTATCAACAGCATCACCACGCAGAGTTTAATATTATTTGCTCATTTCCATACCATCTGTGCTCCAGTGTAATTTGAACACGAAGAATAAACATCACAATGCATTACACTGATTAATATCTAAAAAGTGTGATGATGACAACAATAAAACCATTCTCTTTGCCTAGTCTAGAAGAGCTCCACAGCTTCCACCTCCTCACAGATTCAATGTTCCTTCCACAGAACAAGTTATTTATTGAAAGGCAGAAGCACCATAGGCAAATTACAGACGTCCAATTGTAACATCACCAAACACACAAACATACCCCAAAATTGGATGCTGCAAAGCGGTCCGACGCAGACACATTTGTGGAGGCAGTGGTGTGCGCATAATAAGCATTAATATTGGCAAGTAAGGTGCTCATCACAGCTGGCACGCCTGGGCACATGTATTTAGAGGAGAGACATGCAAAATGCCTGCAAAAGGACAGTTCTGTAAGTCATTCTGGTCTCTTTTGTGTAGCACAACTTGACTCTATCCCTTTAATAGCCCCCTTACTCTGGCTGGCACCACGAACAGATGAAAGTTAAGTTTTCTCCCTTTCTGTAAATCTCCAGCATCTCAGAGCTTTTTTAGAAAGATGCCATTAAGACGACAGATAGGCTCAAAACAAGAGAAATCCCTTCACTACAGCCTTTATAAAAGATCATAAAATAGCTTCTCAACTATTTGTGGCCAACAACTTTTGACTTAGGTGATGCCAAGCCTGACACAAGGAAATCTATATATTTTTGCTGCCACTTGAGGCAGCCACAGGTTCTGAGGTGACATGAGGCAGCAGCAATTGGAAAGCATTCAACCACAGCGAGATCACACACTAGTAATTCTGTGCTGCCCTGATGTGTGATTCCTTAGGGCTAACCCTTCCAGCCTGCAGGAAGCATCCATGCTCATTTGCATTTTCCCATTTAACTGCTCTCATTAAAGTGCAAGGAACCCTCCTGCAGGAAAACTCAAAATTATGCCAGAAGCATCCAGGCTTGTGAAATGATTAAACAATCAAAGAAAAATCTGTTAGACATAAGGGGGAAAAAAAAATACCAGAGTTTAAAAGGTCTGATATTATGGGACATGGCAAGTAAAGTTCATTCCAGCAGACAAGAGAGTTGGGCCATTTTTAAGCAGTCCTTTTTAAGCAGGAATCCTCCCTGAGCTCCCAGACTAAATCTGGGAACTGTTTTACAAATGAAGCTTTCTACCTAAGGGACTCACCACAGACATTAGTTTCTGTGCTAGTTAACCTGCAAATGATTATAACCAAAAAAGCTCCAGTGAGAGAATTTCATAGGCATTCACAAGTCAGTATTTCAGAAAGACGTGATACCGAAGCCTGTGTGGTTTTTTCTTTGCTTGTTGCATGATATCTATGTACCAGTTAGTCATTTAGGTACTCGGTAAATAAAGACAGACACATAAAATGGCTCTGTTAGCTTGAAGAAAAGGCGTGAGGAGTCGAAATCTAATCAATGTCTTGACTACTTAGCTGAAAAGGGAGGGTTAGTGAGAAGATTGAGGCAGGACAAAAACCTTTTAGAGGGAAGACTAAAAGATAAGCAGCAGCAATATGCAGCAGTTACAGCATAGGAAATTTAAAGTAGGATTTTCCGATTTGGATTTCAACCAGGAATTTCTTCCCCAGAGTACAGCCTGAGGATAGGAGCCCAGAGAGAGTGGTGGGTCTCCATCCTTGGAAATTTTCAACAAACTGAAAGAGGTCCTGAGCAGTCTGGCCCTTCCCAGTTAGCCCTGCTGTAAGCAAGGACTAGACCTCTGGAGGTACCCTCCAATTCTTTTCTACTTTAGCTTAAATGAGTATGCAGAAAAGGTGCTTGCAAGGTGACAGATCATAACTCATCCAAGGACCCAGACCTCAAAACTTTCAGCTTCTAACATGAAAAAGTTCACTTTTGTCTGCTATATTTAATATTACATTTGAAATAGGAAATGAGCTAAGCATAGCACTACCAGTCTCTAAGAGGAAGAATGGCTAATCTCAAATCCAAGTAAAAGTATAGTGACAAGGAAAATGCTCTTTGAAGATCAAGAACTGCATTAGCCTAGCTCCAAAGAGGACAAATCAGTGGCTCCATTACTGCAACTTCCTATAAATGCCTTTAGCAGAACCTGGGAAATTAATGACTTCAAAGGAGTGTATCAATTGCCATAACAGACATGTAGGACAAACACTGTCACAAAACCTCATCCCTTCTCACATCATCAGAAATCTTCAGGGGGATCTTTGGGCAATAAATTTTCAACAGAAGTGTGCTCAAATAAGAGATTTTTGAGTCTTAAAACAGGAATGGCTAAGGTATCAATAATAAAATATGGTCATTTACCCTACCAAAGTTGGTGTAATTCCTTAGAATTAGTTTTAAAGGTGCTTACACAAACTGTTCACATAGATGCTTAATTCAAGCACTTTCTCAGATATTAATTTCTAGAATTTCAGGAAACCACTGATTTGGACACAGGTAGTCTTTTCCCATTCCCAGTAAGTCCCATAAAGAGCAGCTATCCCTGCCAAGCCTTCCATTACATCTTCACACTACATTACACATTTCATCTTCTAAATATTAACAATCACGTAAATTAGTTACACTGATTATCTGCACTAAAGACCACACAAAATGCATCTTACGTCATGGCTTGGTATATTGATTCAATGCCGTAACGCATTGCAAACTCATCCACGATCTCTTGAGCTGTCTCATCAAAATACACCTTCCAGGCATCATCTCCTTTGGCATCAGGGATCTTCACCACCCCATTTCCTTGCACATCTGTGAGATGGTGAAAGAGGTTCTGAAACACAAAACAAGAATGAAATTATATGTGAGACTGCTGAAGCCTCCAAGTGAGTTTTGTGAAGAGCTTGGAACTACTGAGAAGGCACTAACAGAAATTTCTTTGCTCTCCTCCCTCTTTCTTTCCCTCTACCCTCTATACATTTTTCTGATTTTATCTTCTTCTCTTTTTCAGTGCTCCTAGATGAATTTGTTGCATGCATTCCTACAACTTTAACCAACAGACATTGAGAATGATGCAGAGGAGTGTATCAATGCAGTGAAAACAGACTAATTAGTTTCCTGAAACCTACACATTTCTGTCCTCAGAATGAAATGCCTTAACATGGACAAGCTATTTAAACTAGCTGACGTAACAGCTCTGTATCAGCTTTGTACTTATTATTATACATCAGAACAGTCCAAACAGATTTTTTTTTTCCCTGAAAAGGACATCCTTAAGATCACTGCTAACAACTAGACACTTGCATTATTATTCAATATAATTTTTCACTTTATCTAACACTGCAAAGGCTTTCAGCTATCACTGCTGTGCAGAAATTGCACATTCAGTTCAGTGGGTTTCTCAGTAATCCTCAAATTCACGTCACTTACAGATTCATCAGCCTTACAGACAGCTGGCTGCCTGTGGTAAGGGATGCAAAAGTCTAATGATCTCATTAGGAGCTACAGGACTCTGCTTTACACTATTTTTCCTAATTAAATTATTCTAGCTGTAAATCATCTTCATTTTATGATACAAAACTGAAAGGTGATACTTAAAAAGAGAAAAAGAAAGGCAGCAAGTGATCATGCATGTTCAGAAGGGAAAAAAATGAAAGAGCTTACCAAACAGAAGCCATCATTGAATTAGAAAAAAAACCCAATAAATATGTATTGAAGGATATAACACAGCCTACTAAATGAAGTCTACTGATGTTTTTCTAAGTTTCTTATCTATCTGTGCCCTAGTAAGACCAGAAGACATCACAGGGCTCATCTAGCTCCACGTGTGGATAAATATGTTATTCCTGAAGCTGAACATTGCTCTCTGTGATACATCTGTCCTTCTTTTCTAATCTGAATTTGCTTGAACCTCACTGGACCTCGTGATATTCTTGTATGTCAAGTGAAAGGGGCTCTCTTCCCTACTTCCTTCCCTCTCTTCCCTTCCCTACTGACTACTCTTCCTTATTCAGGCACTTAAGAGACTGACCCTGCCACCTGCCTTCTCTTTGACAGAGAGACTGGGCTCCATGCAGCTCACCAAGACAGCGTTTTCCCTTTAGTCCTTCTCACAATTCATTGATTTCTCTCAACTTCTGCAGCACTGCCTGTCCAGCTTAGTCCACCCTGAGGCAGGTCAGTACCCATTTAATGCAGCTTATCTTCAGTAGTTGTTCATAACTATACACCAGGGCAGCAGCACAGAAAAATTTGTAACACCAATATCTGCAATAGCCAGAGTCAAAACCCTCCCCTGTTCAGAATTTACTCATAGAGCATTTTAGTATGTCTTCTGGACATAGGTACAGTACATGCTGAAAACACCACGCAAGGAAATTCAGAGGTTTCTCTGTATTAAACCTATGGGAGGCTCTGAGTAGGATCACTGCATGATTTCTGCCTGACAGCAGCACAGCTGTGACAGTGGGACAAACTGAGCCAGCCAGCCTTCAGTGCGGGGGAGACAGCCTAAAGCCTTCTGTGCCTTCCTGACAAATGCAGGTCTGATGATTCAGCATGTTTCCAGGCCTCCAGAACAGGGAAAAGAAAGCTTACCTAGGGCAAGGATGAACATTTCAAGAACCTAAAGGTCAGAACATTGTTTCTTCAAGAGACAGAAGGGACATGGTGATGACTGAGCTGAAGTCGCTTCTTACCTCATGAAGGCAAGTGTACTGAATATGATATGGAGCCACCTTCTCCTCGCCTTTGATCTCCACACTGATTTGCAGGCGAATGGCCCCAGACACTGCAGACTTATCTGTTCGCTTCTCTAGAAGGAAAAATCAGCAGCAATTACATGTATTTTTCATTCTCAGAGCACAGTCATCTTGGGGTAAAAACAGTGGAAAAGAAACTACTGGAAGCCGAGGCTGAGCTTGTGATTAGTCATTGTGGAGAAAACATCTGACTTTTATCTTCCAAAATGTTGAAAGACTGACTGTAAGCCAGTTCCAACAGCAAATGTGCTAGAGGGTCCCTGGCCTTGGATTCAGTCAGCTGAACTTCAAACCACCAAGGATAGATCCCTTTTCTGAGGGACAGTGCACAGTGCACTTTGCAGGTCTTAGAGACTGGTAAAATGCTTGTGTTGGCACAAAAAAAGGGCTCAGGACAGGAAATATGTCTCTAGCACAGATGGAACCCAACCCTGCTCCAAGCATTTACCCATTGTACTTTCCAATGCCTGTCAGGGAAACTCATCACCTTTCTGACATGTTATATTTCTCCTCTTCATTTTAACTGGGATCAAAGCCTTTCAGATGCTCCACAGCACCATCATATGCACCTTGAAATTATGCTGGGTTTGGTTTTTTTTATTATTCTTTCTTGCAAACTGCCCAGATGCACCCAACTGTTCTTGAATGTTTCCAAACTAACATGTGACATGTTTTCAATCCCAAAGCCTGGCTCACCAAGGTTGTACCACACATCCATTTCTCCACTCAGAGTACGGACTTCAATGATTGTCTGCCCCAGGAAATCATCCGACTCGCGTTTCAGTCTCTGCTTGACACGAGACTTGATGTCATCATCTTCATCCCACACTCGTACCTTGATCCGGTCAGAAGAATTATGGCACTCACTGCAAACAAGACAAACAACGTTGAAGAGCACATAATGCAGCCAACATTTATTTGTTACATGCTTCATGTTCCTCTTGACCCATTGTCCAACAGTAGAGGGATGCATAAACAAAATGTAAACAAATGCCTATTTATTTAAAAGTGGATCATCAGATAGGAACTACATAATAACTTTTTGCTGCACTCTAAACATTCCTGTGACATGGTAGATACTGCACTTCAGATGCATGCTGAAGGACTGTCTTGCCCAAAATGCAGCCGTCAACTTCAGACTTGCTAAATGGCTCAGACTCTCCTCCTTGTCCTCACTCTCAGCAGCAACTCTCTAAACTTGAGAGTTCTCTTCACTGTTGTTGCTTTTGTCCTCAAACCCACAAAAGCCTGGTGATAGCTAGGCTGGTAAACACAGCTTGCACACCCCAAAAATGCCGATGAGCTTGGTTTCTGATAGCTCTCCCCATCAATGACCTTTTGTTCAGCTGTAGGCGTTAAAGACTACTTGTACTTATGCATGTGCAGTATCTAGAATAGCACGGTCAAGGCCTATGACAAACACCCTTCATGCTGTTTTCTAATAAGAGATAAACAACTCAGATGGAGGTAGCTCTCTTGGTTCAAGATAGCCACAAAGCAGTAGTGTATTAATGTACAATACGTTACAATCAGATGGTACAAATGCTGTCTGTGCGTGGGAGGAAAGGGTGGGATACAGCAGTTACAAAGTTGGTATTTAATTACTAGAATTGATTCTATTATTCACAGCTCAGACTGATACTTTGTACCATGGGCAGATCAGTGAAGACATTTCCATTAAAAAAACCCAAAACAAAACAGTTTACTGTTTGCTGAATTGGCACCCTCCACCTTAATGCACAGCCTCCTCCTCTTTTTAGGTGTTCAGATACCTTTTGTAGATACAAACAGGCTCCTTGATGTCAGAAGTGGGTAGAAGAACCTTATTATAAGAGCTGTGCTCATTTACAGGGCATGCAATACAATAAAGCAATTTGAATGCTCATATGCGACCATGACAAGGGTGATTACTCACCATAACCACTACAAATGTCTGCCCTCAAGGAAATAAAACCTATGAAAATAGGCAACTTCTGCTGAAGGCCTGTTTTCCAGCCTTTTTAACTTTAACATGCTGCATCTGTTGCTAAGCAACAGGGAGAAGGAAGAAATGGGTCAGAAGAGATCTGCTAAGCCCAGTTAATAAGATGTGGCAGTGACTGGTATTTGCATTCTCCCTACCAACAAATCATTTGGGCTCTTATTGACACTATTGTGATTCAGGACTGCTTAACAGATGTCCATGCTGCTCCTACTATTTTTTCCAGCACAGAAGAATAGCTGGGAATTATATGCAGAAAGTTAGAGGCAATTACAGGCAGTTCTGATCATGGGCAGAGAGCACTGTTGCTCCCTGCCTTTGCTGTACAATCAAAGCTCTATTTAGAGTTCAGAAGAAAGAAGGTTCAATGTTTCTCTCTTGCCTTTATTCTTCCTTTCCTTCTCCACTACTTCAAGGATGTCTTCCTTTAACAAAACCATGCAGCAAACATTCACATGCAGTGAGCGCTTGGACTGCTGCTCTTTGTAGCTCTCAAATTTATCTGAGCGCATGGCCATATCTACCAGCAATGGAGCATAAGCATGTAAAAGAAATCCTCTGTTCCTGACACAGTGCACTAATGTACATCTTGGCAGTATGTACACTAGAGGCTCAGTGTTCAGAAGAATATGGGTGCCTAAAAACAGACTGGCACTCAGTGCCATTTGCAAAGCACAGGGTTAGGTCCCGACTTCTTCAGACCTCACCTTATGGCACACCAATTCTTTCTTAAGATCACTTTGATCTTGTTTCTTTGCTACCAATGGTCAGAACCTGCTGTTTCCTTCAGGAAAACATTCTCTGTTTAGACCTAAATCTACCTTAGGCAGCACCACATGCATCATCCCACATTCCTGGAGTGGCTGGCTACATCCTTCACTCAGTTACAGCAGCATAACTCACTGCTAAGTGCTATAGAAACTGTTCCAGTAGCATTTACTGAGCTCCTGAAGCTTCTATTTTACCACACTATTCTCCATTGTTTTTAAAAGACTGCTCAACTCCTATTCCTTATGCCGCTCCCATTCCAGAGAGTGAGCCTTATCACTCGTTCACAGCAGCTGAAAGCCCTGGGTTGGTGGCTTACCCATAAAACATAACCACCTAAGTCTGTAGGAACCACAGTCCTTGCTTTAGGTGAAGAAAAACAGCTGTGCCAACACCATTTCACCTTCTAGAGAGTACCCTAAATCAGATCCACAAATACTGGAGGATCTGTTAACTGATAACAGGCTTTTTAAGCAATGATAAATAGCTTCCAATTTGTGACAGTATCACAATTCCATAAGACTGTGGCTAACAAGCTCTGCTGCTAAAAACTTTTCTCTTCATTAATATAGGAACTGGTACATTTCTAAAAATGCCTGCCCCACTTCTTGCTACATTTTTGTGAAACTTGATTTCACTGTGTGCGCACATACATCCATTCAGTCTCCCACAGCTGAGCTCCCACAGCTTTCCCAAGAGGATGAACAGAGAAGAAAAACTCTGTGGCCTCATTGCAAGAAAGAAACTACCAAATGCTTTCAGGCCCACTTCAGAGTGCAAGAGACTGCAAACCATGTCCCCATTGTACATGGCTCAGAATTTTTCTCTTCCTTTTATATCCCTGACATTTGCAGTGGTGCTATATTTATAAACAACTTACTTTTACACTTCAAGCTACCAAATAAAGTCGTGTTTTTAGAAAACAGCACAACAAATCTTCAAGAAAAATTAAAATCAAATAAATTGTTAATTTTTTTTCCAGTAAGTTTTTCTGTCTGAAGCCAGTGGTTGCAGGAGCAGTGGAAGCAGCTGAACTTGGTTCTGCTGACTCGCTCTCTATCCCACTCTGCCTCCGTTTCCTCTGCCACATTCTCTGATGGCCTTACCCAACCACAAACCACCAGTTCCTCACACATGTGCCCTGCACTATCAATATCCTGGCCTCTTCCCATGCTCAGTTAGCAATTAGGCTGAGAGGAAGCACATGAGCACATGAAGTGGTAGTTAATTCTGATCCGCACACACAGCGGCATGCCCACACACAGAGTAAGTGGTATATTGGTGGCTAAACAGAACAGATAACTGCTGAATTTACATTATAGTGCCTCCCACAATGAAGTTAGTAATTTGTATCCTTCTTATCTAGCTCCAGCTTCTGCAAAAAAATTGTAGAAAGTGATTTTTAGTTCTGAAACCTCTGCCCATCTGTAAGGGTTGTTCCAAATTGACTCAAATGATGCCAGGGGTCTGGGATGGAGTATTGCATATGCCTTGTCTCCCCCAAGAAATGGAGAGAAAGAAAAAGGAGAAGTGTCTAAAAATGACCAGAACACTACTTTTGAGACAGTGATTCATACTTTGAAGCAAAAAATCCAATGACGTGCTGAATTTGCTATCATTTGTAACTTGTGCTACCAACATTGCAGGGCTGTTACTTAACTTCCACAAGAATGTTAAAGCCCAAGTCATAAGTCTTGTCAAGTTGTGGCAACACCAAAAAGCTTGCTAAAGTTTTGCCCTAAGAGATATAAAGGTGTATGTATAAAATGGCGCGTCCAACAGTTTACAAAATGATCTCTACCCACAGTAAAGATTTGAAGTTTAAAGCATGGAGAGTGCCAGATTAAAAACATACAACTTTCAACACCATTAGCTCATGTTGCTGAACTTACACTAATGAAGACAGAGTCTGATAAATACCCATAAGGGTGAAAGTCCATTTGTATCACATCTGCATCAACATTTCTTCCCAATCAATTTCCCATCTCAAGAAAGGTGTTACCAACATGCTAACCCTGCAGGACACATCAAGCTATTATCATTCCACTAATGCTGCAGTGAGATCTAAACTGTGCGTCTCTAAAACGCACTGTGTAGACTAGAGAGGTGGGACACCAACACAACTCTGTAAATCAACATGCCCATTTTACATAAAGATGTTTCCCTAAATTAGGTTGTTTTCTTGTATTTTCTGCCTGAAGAACAGGAGAACCCAGAGGCCCCAAATGCAGCCAGGACTCCACTGTGCTTGGCAGCTCCCTGAGCGGTAAACAGCCTCCGCCTTGTACAGCTGACAGTCTAATAAAGACAAAAAGCAACAAGCAGACACAGCGAGAACAAACAATGGAAGTGAGGGAACAGAGGCAGCAACAATATTTTGCAAATTGAAAAGTAGCTCAGTCAAGCCTAGAATTAAGTAGCTTTGTTGTGTTTTGATATTAAAAAAAATATTTATGGTTCAAAGAGTCTATTTAATATCTATATGGCCATATTCTGTGAGCAGTTTCCCTTCCGCACCATGGCAGATGCAGTAATCAAGAAGGGCCTGTAAATCTTCACAGTCCAGTGCAGAGGATATTTCATGCTATGGCAGAGAAAGAAAGAAAGTGTGGAACTACTTGCAGAAGTAATGCATGAGAGTGCAGGAGGTGGCAAAATGCATAGGAGAGAGCAGATAAGCAAGACTTTAGGACTTGTGATCATTTTAGCAGGAAAATTTTGCTTCTGAGGAGCAAAGCTTAAAAAAAAGCAAAGGGATTTTCTGGAAAATGAGAAAGGAAGGAGTAGTTGTAGTAACAAGTATGAGAAAGCCCAGTAAAGAGTTATAACAACATACACAGAGGTAGCAGAAAAAAAAAAGTTGTCTATGGGAAAAGGTCTGGCTGAAAAAGCAGGAAGACTGAGATATGGTTCAAATGAAGTGTTCTTGACATGGCAGGGTCCAACTGGCAGCTCTGTTGTGGCCAGCTGCAATGGGAATGGAAGGCAGAAAATTTCTCAGAATAAGTTAATTTTTAAACAATGCCAAGTCTCCTCTATTACGGAGAAAAAAGGGCAGTGGAGAAAATACCGAAGGCAAAATCAGAGCAGTAAGAGAACAAAGCTAAAATCCTTAGCAGCTTAGAAGTTAAGCACGACAGCAAAATAATATGCCCTGAGATCCAGCAGTTGCTGTCTAAGAACAAAGAAATTAGTTTTCTGTTCTTACTGGCATGAAGTTCCTTTCTTAGGGGAACAAGTACAATCATTTTGCCGTTACCCAATGCTACAACACCGACTGACAAATTAATGGTGCGTCTCTCCTAACTACAAAAAAGCAGATAAAGTGATTCTGAGCGTTACATCCTTAGCTACATTAACTCAGCTTCCCAAAAGGCACTTGCCATAAGGCATCAACTCTGCGTTCAAATTTAAGTTTCACATTGGTAACTGAGCAGGGAAATAAACGGGATTTTATCAGAGTGACAGTTTCAATATCTGCAGTACCAGGAGAATAAAGAAAGCAAGACAAACTGAATGGCCCCTGCCATGCCGTGAAGGGAGGCTGAGGGCACAAAGTTACAGCGACATGGTCTCAGAAGGGCAAGTCTGAAAAACAGCTCTGGAACAGTCACATAAAACCACAGAGATAACTGAAAGATGCTGAGCTTGATAACAGGTTC